ATCTGTGAACCCCTGGAACGCAACAGTTTTTTGTCACAATATTGCTAAAGAAAAGAACTGCTTTGAAGCAATTCTTAAAACAACTGCCAAGAAATTTTCACAAGAACAGAAACAAAAATTGTTTGTAAGTAGATTTTTTGATTGATTTTCAGAATAAATACTTAATTAAAATGTAAACCTACCCAAGAAAGGGGACAGTTCTATATCTCCCATTCTACTGGACCAGTTGTCAAAATTTAACTTGTGTTTTCCATGTTTCAAAAGCATGACTTAGAATTTATATTAGATTTATATATGGCTTTGTTCTTAACATAGGTATTTTGACACAAAATTGGACTTTTTCTGGAACGACATTACGATTTTTCTATATTTCGATTCTATGACACAAATTATACCAAAGTGCCAAGTTTTGTAAAAATCACATGGGTAGTTCTCAAATTAGCTCCTCCATGTTAATTGAATTTGGTATATATTTATTAATCTCTCCTTTTTTTTTCTTTAAACTTATTTGATTCTGCCTTTCACATTTCAAAATTTAAGTTCATTCCAAATAAAATTTACCTATTCTTTATGATTTATTTTTAAAATTTGCATTTAAAAACAATTTTTATAAATTTTTCAAAAACATTTTGTATTATAATCTATAAAATTTTTACCATCATCTTAAAGCATCAGATGTAGTACTAAGCATACCTGCAAAAAAATTAAGAGTTTTTTATGCAAAATTTCCTAAGATAAACATGAATTTACATACTGGCGTATTTTAAAATTTGTTAAAAGCGACAATAACGCCAAATGTGGTTTACACACTTTGTTAAAATTATCTGAAAGTATGAATGATGACATTTTTTCCGCTTCTGCACAATGAAAAAAAGGAAAGGTAAATATGTTGCTATAAATTAAGAAGTTTGTCAAGTGAATTATTCTTGGCATATACTGAAAAAAAAATGCACCAAGATAAAATTTTAAATTTCTCACCAGAAATTACAAAATTTAATATCTAGGCATAGAATCAGAGAATCAAAATATGGAAAACAATTGGTATGTTATTTCAGAAAACGTCCAATTTTGTGTCAAAATACCCATAATTTGAGTTGTACAATCAAAATATGGAAAACAATTGGTGTGTTATTTCAGAAAAAGTCCAATTTTGTGCCAAAATACCTATGTTAGAACAATAATATACATCTAATATATATCCTATGTAGTGCTTTTGAAAAATGGAAAACACAAGTTAAATTTCAACAATCAGTCCAGTAGAACAGAACATATAGAAATGTCCCATTTTATTTTTTTGCAAGGTGTACATAATAATAAGTATGCATGTAATAAATAATTTTACAAAATTATAATTTATCCTCAGTTTTTTGTATAAAAAATCAAATTTAGTCAAGGTGCTTGAGCTAACGTATAAATTAAAAAACAATATGTTGATATAAAACAAAATTGTAAACAAATATTAACCACTTAAATATGATTTGATATTTAAGTTTCATAAAATGTTCTACAAATTTCATAAAATGTTCTACAAATGTATATAGTATATTAAGACATTTCAAATCAAATAAAATTTAATAAGAAAAGTTATGTTGAAAATCACTAGTGGTAGAAGATTGAAATTTGTGCAATATCAGTTATTGCTAATAACTTATTAAAGGCTAAAAATTAAAGCACAAAGAGATTTGGTAAGACTGGAAGAAAGATGTGACAAAAAACTGGGAGAGATGGCAACTATACCATACCTTTGCAAAAGCACCATTCTTATTTTTAAATTATAAAAGTATTGAAAGAAATTAGCACATTGCCAATTTCTTTCAATACTGTATTGAAACAATTACAATACAGTATTATTATTGAAACAATTACAATATAATTACAAATACAGTATTGAAAGAAACAGGCACATTGCCAATTTCTTTCAATACTTTCAAATATGGAACACATTACTAACCTGTATAGAGTTCTGAAAAATCTTTCACTTTTTGAAACTCACATACAGTACAAAGTCTGTAATCCGGAATGATCTATAATGCAGACCTCAAAGCTACAAACTTTATGCGCATGCGTAAACGAATAATGCGTTTACACATGTGCGTTTAATGTATAATGGACGGTATAAGCTAGGCTAAAATTATCTAAGGCATTTCAGTTAATGTTGCAGATTGCGCTGTTCCTTAAATCTTCTCATTGGATGCAGCTTATTATTTTTTGCAGACTGTTAGAACAATTTTATAAAAATTAAGCTTCAACTTTTGATTATGTCAAAAAGAGTTTCCAATTCTGGAGCTGCCAAAGGATCTACAAAGTGAAAGAATGTTTCGATGTCCATTAAACAAAAAATGAAATTGCTTCAAAAAATGGATAAAGGCCTATCCGTCTCAAAATTATGCGAGAAGTATGGCATTGGAAAGTCCACTATACATGACATAAGAAAAAGGAACTTTTTAAATTTTTCTTAAACAACTTACATTGAAAGAAATGTTTATTAAAGTAAACAAATAAATATTAAGCTTTTTTTTGTAAATTTTGATACCTTTTAGATCATAATTGTTCTTTATTTCATAAATTACGATTTCATATTTTTAATCTTTTAATTTCTGCATGCCATCTTACCAGATTTAAATTGATGATCTGTAATCTGGAAAAACCCCTAATTCGGAATCGCCGAAGTCCTGACGAGTCCGGATTATGGACTTTGTACTATATAGGTAAACACATATGCAACTTTTGAAAAATTCACTCTTTACATACACTTACATATAGGTAATTCACTCACTTACATATAGGTACTTACATATAGGTACATTCACTCACTTACATATAGGTAAATTCATACATTCAACTTGAATGTATGAATGTCAAAAAATTCTTCTGTGTGGGCTGACACTTGTTCATATACGCGTTTATCAAGAATCATTTAATATATGCTAGTAATTCATATGTATTAAACACTAATGAAACTTGCATGCCTATTTTAACAGGAAAAAAGAACACAGCTCATAACAAGAATGTGTTTTTAAATTGCATGCTTTCATATTATACACATATTTCACAGCTCAAGGTTAAGGAAATATATTTTATGATATGGCATTTTAATTTACATTTACTTAAATGACAAACAATTACTAATAACATAAAATTAACACAGTTTTATTATCATAACATAATATGCTAAAAATGTATACTATGCATACTTGACTATGAATAAGAAGTTACAAAAAAAAAAAAAAATCTGAAAGGTTTCACATTTTAAATTATGTCCAAAGGGGCATTTTTTTAATGTTTTGTGTGTTGCCTTTGTTTATAAAATATCATGTTCTTTGCACTTAAACCATAAAATTCAGTTCAATAGCAATGTAGCAAAATAATTTTAAAATGAGCATATTCTTAGAAACTTTGTTACACACTCTCGCACACTGGAGATAATTTTTTTTTTTTTTTTTTCCGTAGTGTCACCATTGCTCCATTTGAAGTAATCAAATACAAAATATGAAAACGATAATAAAGTAAATTCCAAATTTCAAATTTGGTCTTCCACATGCCCATATTCGTAGGAGGATTACATCATTCAAAATTTGATGGCTCTATGTACGCTGTTTTATCACAATGTGAGAAATATACAAACATATGTGCAAATTTTTCATGATTTAATTTCTTCAAATATAATGCAGGACTCTAACATTTGGTGGCAACAGTTTGAAAAGTGATTCGTCGTTTATTGTGATTCAACGCAAAATCGCAAAACGAAAACAATAGTCCTTCAGGGACAAAGCCCCTTTGGACTAATAATTTGAAGAAAGCATGGATTTAAAAAGATTACAAATTCTTAGAATTATTTTACAAAATGCAGCAATCAGATGCAAGAAAACATAATAATATGCAAGTAAATGTTAGAAACTGAAAAATGAAATCTGAAGACATGCAAAACTAAAAAAGCTATAGCACAATTAATGATACTTTTTAATTATCCACACTCCAACCAAAAATTTGCGAAATCACTGGTGAGTGATTTTTCGCCAAACTAATGCGTGAAAGGCAATAGCTATTTTCAAAATGCTGCCATGTTAACAATTCTACATAAGAGCAATTAAATTAAAAAAAGAAAGAAACATTAGTAATAAAACACTTAGCTTTTTCAAAAAAAAATCTTTTTGTGCAGTTTTTCTCTTTATGTACACAGCAATTTGTTTTCACTTAAAGAAAACAAAAAAAAAAAAAAAAAAAATCACAAACCTGGCATCATTGTGATTTAGCATTGCGACCTGGTGAAAACAGATATGCTACTTGCATACCTAGGTTGCCACACAGTTTTTGTGACATTCATAGTTGCCGCGTAACTATTTTGGCAATTTAGTGTTTTGACTCAAGAATATTTTTTTGATGACTTTTCAGCAAGAATGTGGATAATCAGGAAGTACACAATTTACAAATAAAACAATCTCAAAAATGTTTATTGATCATGCATTAAAATGTTTTAAACTGGTATAATATCTTTTGTCCCAAATGAATATATGCACTAATAATTAGGCAATAATAATCAGGCACAAAAAGCAGATCCCAACATGGTTTACAACTTGAACTGGAAAACTTTGACCTTGTCTATGCATGTAATTAATTATAAATGGCTTATAAATGCTAAACCATGTATTAGGAAAATGAATCCATTCATGTCTCTTAGTTATGAAATTATCATCTAAAATCTGTTGTATGGAACTTTGAAATTAAAGGGAAATAATAGCATTAAAATTTAATTTTCAAAATGGCAAGTTAGGTTATGGGAAAATACATAAAAGGCCAACTCAAGACTAATTTCCACAAAAGGATACTACCATGGGCATTTATGTTAAATATCAAGAAATTACGCTCATATTTCATGTTCTAAAAAGAATTAAAACTACTCTAGTTACACAGACACTAATAGCCTTAACTAATTATCTAAAAACAATCACAGCTCTCAAAATATTAAAAATATAGCAGAAACACATATAAATTACACATACCTCTGTAACCTGAGAACTATTATCTGTTTCCACAGCCTTTGAATTACTAGATTGATTTATGGCATCATTTATACAAGCTTCAAGGCACTCTGCTGAAGAACACCTATGCTTTTTACTAGCCCCATTTGTTGATGTTTTCTTCCTTTTATTTCCTTTAGAACCATCATAGGTATTTTCAGTAACAACTACATCTGCATCCCTAACACCAGTAGAACATTCTTCAAAGACACGTGTTTTTTCCAATTTAGAAAACTTTGGTGAGGTAGAAATTCTAATACTTTTCTTCTTTTTAGAAATGGATTCACTCACTTGTGGGCTTTTTTCTAACAAAAAGTCAGCTGTACTTATATTATTAGAGTCTGACTGTTTTGAATTTTGACTACTGCATTCTGGTTGCCTTTCATATGCATTAGAGACATTGTTTCTTTCCAATAGATGTCCATTCTCAGCAGGAACGTTTGGAGATATGCTTTCTTCCTCATTACAGGGCACATCCACAGAACTTCCTATGATTTCATGCATCATTTCAGTTGATTCTTTATCTTTTTCATTTCCTATAACACTAGACTGCAATTTTAGTCTTGAGAGATTCAGCTTTTTCTTTGTCTTTGAAAGTTCAGTTATTAAATGACTCACGACAGCTTTATCTTTCTGATTGGAAGGATTTATTAAACGTGCAATTCTGTCAGGCATGTTTTCAGATATTAGGGGCCTCTTCTCATTTGATCTGTCACTCCCAATTTCTTTGCTTGCCCCTGATGTGTTTGGAGATAAATTAATATGCTCTGCGTCAGTATCCAATCTTTTTGCTTTTAAGAAAGATCTCAAAGTTAGGGGTATCTCCTCAATCAGATCAAAATTAACAGATGTCTTGCATACAGCTGAGGAAGTACTGGCTATTTCAGAGCTTTTACTCAATTTTTTTTTATTCTTATGCTCATTACTATCAACAGATGTTAACATACCAGAAGAGTTTCTACATGATTTGTCTTCATATTTATTATTCTTTTGTACTCCATATAAAGATGAGTTCTGTGGTGCTTCAATGTTTGCATTAGAATGAAAATCATTCCCTGAAGTGTAAATATCTTCATTATTCATAGTTTTACTAGATGAAGGTTCTGCCACAGGGCTATATGTTTTATGAAAACGAGACCTTTTTTCATATGGTTTATTTAATATATTTTTGGAATGATAATGCTTGACTTCAGTATTTCGCGTATCATAGTCATCTGAATGCCTGCTTCCATACTTCCACTTTGAACAGTTATTAGAGTTTTCAAGCCAATTGTCTCTATAATTGTTTGAAGATTGTCTAAAATTATCATCAATTTGATAATTGGGCCCATAATAAGTATATTGGTTTTCTCTCCCCGATTTGCTCCTTGTATTAAATCTGAATTCTCTATCATAATAAGGCAAATGATTTTGATCAAATGACCCTTCCATTTCACTTCTTGAAAAATATCTGTCTCTCTTTGCATTTAATCTTTCATTTCTAGTGTAAAACTTATTTTTTGAGTAAGCACTGCCAGAGTTCCCAAATACCTCATTTTCAACATTAGTTTTCTGATGTCTTGGTGTTTCCAGCAGTGCGTTTAAATGTTCATTTCTTGTGCTGCAAGTAGCAATCTGATGACTAGTATCGGAATTTTCATTTTGTACACCGCTATGAGAAAATGCACTAGAAGAAAAGTCTGTCTGGATGTTTTGCATTGGTACACTGTTTTTTTCAGTCAATTTTTTTGAGTTCCTGTCTTTCCATTTCTTCCTACAAATAAAAAGTAATTTAAGTAAATAATTAGGGACAGAGAAAAATCAGCTGGGAAAACTCTATTCATTACACATGAGCACTTTGATTGCGGACAAATATAATAATGCTATAATTTAAAATGATTTCAAACTTGCCACTGCAAGATTAATTACGATATAACAATAATACAGTCAAATTTTGTTGTAAGGTTATCCCAAACAAATATGGAAAAGTTAACTTTATGAGCAGGATGATCTTATACACACATGAATTAGGAAAACGTAATTATAAAGTTATGCAAAAATTCAGAGAAGAAAGGTAATTATTTACAATAAATTCAGTTTATAATTTTAAAAATTCAGCATATAACTGAATATAATCACTGTAATTAAAATTCAAACAGGCAGCACTATCTTGCTTGAAAATTTAAGAGAAGATGAATTTGAAGTAATCACTAGTACCTAACTATTTTCATATTTAACTTCAGAAAATGAACAGTGTTTTTTAACTTCTAACTTTAATGTTCTACGATAACTCCAGATGATATCAAGGATAATATTACAATGCCTTTATAAACAAAACTTATGGGTTAACTTTTGCATTATATTAGCCTCATTCTCAACAATGAAAGTATCACTCTGCATTTAGTGTCAATAAACATGTTTATGCCACCAGAATTAGATGTTAAAAAAATCAATATATCACTATCTACAATATATTGTAATTTAGCTGGAATATTCCATCCTTGCTTTTGAGGATATTCAGAAAGAGGAATACAGTAATGCTGACAGCAATAAAAGATCGAAGGTAGATGGAGGTTACAGACTACTAAAAAAACTAGAAAAGCTCATCTAGTCAGTAAGCAAATAAATTAGATTCAATACCATCTTAAGCAAGATTTATAAAGCACCACAAAGTATAGTGCAACGCAAAGGGTTAAGCAAGATTGTAAAAAAATAGTAAAACAAATACAGACACTTTCCTACCATTCCAAGATTTTATTCTAAAACTTTTAAAATTAGTTTCATTCTATGAATATTAGATGCTCGAATTGTTTCAAAGGCATCCTAAAATAATCAATTTTCTACTTCAAAAAGACCGGGATGGGGGCACTTATTTAATTACTGACCAAAACAAATACAGGAAAATTGAACATTTGCAATTCTCTGTGGAACTATATACTAAAATGCTAAATGCAGGAATAATAGCAACCCAAAATGTTTCTCGAGAGGGTATACTGCAAAGAAGATAAAACAAATTTAATAAAACTCTCATGATAAAAAAGTTTTTTTAAACTTTTCTTTGTTATTTTTTACCTTGAATAAGAAACTCCGAAAACTTTATTCAGTTAATTCAAACTTTATTTATCAACTCCGAAAACTTTATTCATTAATTATTTTTCAGATTGATTTTGAAGAAAGTATCTTGAAAAACTCAAATCTTTTTTTTTTTGGTGGGGGGCAAAATCAATTTAGTTTAATGCATTCAGCTAACTTAAGAATATTTCCTTACTAGTCCTTTTTACTTTCATAGGTACAAAATATAAATGAGTACAAAAATTGAAAAAAATTCTACTTTTAGACAGTTTGAAAAATTACAATGATAAATCATGAAAAAAGCAGAAAGTTAAGCAATCAGTAACAAGGTAAAAAGATGAATCAATATTCAGGAAGAAGAGTTTCTTATTTCATCACTTTCTTTAAAAATTTATGAAATTTCTTTGGAAGGTGAAAGAGAAGATGGTGTTAACTTTTTAAATTAAAGCATGGTTCAAGACCATAATTAAGACAGAATTAATGAAATGCAGGAAATATAACATACAGACAACATACAAACAGAATTTCATCATATCAGGGATGGCTTTCTGCTAGTACAAATTAGTTTTTGCCCTGCTTGAGGTAAAAACTGGTTATAACCAACAGAAAATGTCAACAACTAATAGAAACTAATAAAATGTACATAAGTAACATTTTCATAAATTAATGTTACATAAGTAACATTAATTTATGAAATGTTTACTACATTAAAACTGTATTTTTATAAATTGATATTAATAATAAAAATAATTACTACTTTAAGTATATAGTTATGACAATAATTATAACAATGAAAAAAAGAGGATATGCATTTTTTTAAAAATATTATTGGCACTTTTACCAAAATATGTGCTTAAATCTAGTCTTTAAGTATAAAACATAGAAAATAACCCTTTGATAGCTCCTGTATGATTTGTAAAGCAGAAAGAAACAGGAATAATGCATTTATAAATCTATTACAAATAAAAATGAATTACCCTCTCTGTTTTATATATGTCTCCCGAGTGCAGGAATAAAAAATGCTGATACATATACAGGAATATCCTACTAACTAAATACTAGTATCCAGACATAAGGATGTTATAAAGGGTGTCTGAAACATTTGATATGTGTTTGTTTACTTCAATTTTTTACGTTTAAGAGAAGGCTGGATTAACACTTAGCTCCAAGAATGCAACAACTATCAAACTGACCAGATATCAAATACCTAATATTAAATGGCTTGAGGTGAAAATTAATTTTGTTCAATTCTATACAAAACAATGTTAAAATTAATGAAGAATACTTTTATAACATACTTAATATCTGTAAAAAGCAATAGAAGTAAAGAGTAGGCTTAGAAAATAAAGTTATGGTTAGGTTGGGTTATTTAATACAGGAAACCTGCCTAAAGGAAGGGATGCTTTCACAGACATTATTTATTATTCTGTCATCTATGAAACTGTCACCAAACACAGTGATTTGATATTAATTACAAATAAGCATAATGTCACAACACACTCACAACATCTGCCCTTTTGTTTACTGCAATCTTGACTGATTCTCAATATCACACCTTTTACTTTTAAAAACAGTGATATAAATTAATTGGTATTGTTGTAGTTTGGAAAAAAAATGAGACTGAGGGCTATAGAATCACACGTGTGACTATACTATGGTTCATTGTAAATTGTAGCTGGTTAAGAGAATTAACATCTTTTGAATGGAAAAAAAGAACGGTTGGATACGGCTGACAGAACAATATTAGACTAGAACAAACGTATGTGAGAAATCTATACTCAGAGTATTCTATTAACTCAGAGCATTCTCTTATATCTTCTGGTAAAATCAATGGGCCTAACAAAACAACAGAAATTGACAAAAGCCCTTTTACAAAGAGAAAAATAAAAATGAAGCGATTTGAATACTTGCAGCAGAGGTTATTTGGCGGGTTGTGCAGGGAGACAGATTAATATTTTATTGTAAGAGTTGCAGATAAAAGTGTGGCTCAGAATTCTACAGGAATGACTGGCACAACTTTGCCAGGATCTCCACCAACTTTCATGGTTTGATGGAAGCCATCTTTCATGGTCGATAATACATTAGTACCAAATTTGCTCACGGAAACTGCCTTGTATTCATGGTTCATATGGGAAAAACCAAAAAAACACCACTATAATCAACCTCTTCACTTTGCTTTAAACCTTGATTGAACTACCAATATTCAGCAGTCTTAACCTACAGCCATTGGTAAAACTAATGAGGTTCACGAGAACGTATTAAAATTTTAATTATGTTTAATGAATAATTATATATCATTCAGTTTGTTATGTAAAACCCCATTAATTTTAATTATTTAACAAATCTGAATCCAGTTAAAACCATTGGAAATTTCTGGATTATTAAGCTTTTTTAAAATAAATTTTAATAGTTTCAGAAGTACTTAAAGTAATGCTGAAATTCATAAGCAACACATTCACAGCACACCAAATTCATTGTATATAGCACTTAGATGCTACTGAATGTAATGAATGCATCTGTAATTGGTAATGAAAATTGTTTGCATTTATTTGGATTTTCCAAAGAAACATGTAAAGAAACACAATAGTAAAAATCAATTTCAGAAGCCATTCAATAATAGATGCATTAAATTGATGCTTGAAATCAATTATATTAGTATTGGCAAATTATCTGATATTTAGAACCATGAAAAACATACTGAAAAGAAATACAAATATTTCTCAATGACTTAGCTAAACACTTTTTAGAAGTAAGTGGAATTTGACCCTCTTGTGATATACTATAGATGACTTACAGAATGGTAAATCTACACATCTCTAGATGATCATCTCTGAAAATGATGAGAATTTCTAAGAACATGAAAAAGTATTGCCAGTGAACATCGCTACTCCAAAGTGACCATCATCACAGAAGGCCAAAATCACTTGGTAATTGCTTTTTAAAAAACTGTTTTCCATTAAGGATCAATGATAAAACATTAAGTAGTTTTATTATAATAAATGAAACATAAAATTCGCATTCAAAATTTTACCAAAGAAAATGCATCTTTAATAGAATTATAATCTTCAAAATACTGAAAATGCTGACCATATTAATTAGATCAATACATTTTTGGGGGACTGCTTTACAGAAGTATCCTATACTTCAGATACACAGAATATGCAATCCTAAGACCAATTAATTTCATTTTATAATTAAAATTTAAATACTTATTTGAGACAATCATAAAAACAGAACATTAGTATTCACCTGGTGTAATAAGCATTCTGCTAATTATCATAATACACATAAAAGGCTAATAAATATCTCTCTTCACTGACAACTTTATGGAGAGAGAGAATATGGCTAAAGAAACAATTTTCATAATACATTTCATGGTGGAATGTGAATACAGAAACACATTAAGTACACAGAACTTGGAAAACCAAAGTCATTTTAACTATGGAAATTTACAAGAAACAATGCTTGATATTAAAAAAAAAAAAAAAAAAAAATGTTTAAATGAAAGATCTTGAACTACAATATCACAATGACAACAATGGTTGGCATATACTTTAGAGACCTGTCTTGCAGCAAATCACTTGGCTTCTGACCACACATTGTATTGCACAAATTAATACTTTTGTCTTAGTTCCATCACCCCTTAAAATTGTGATCATCTTTCCTGTTGTGTTCTGTACACCGAGAGGATGTTTTCAAAAGGCGGTATACTTCACAAAAAGAAATGCAATTGAATTTCACCAAAAATACATCAATTTTGAAAATTACAAAAGTACATAAATACTCATCAAACCAGAGTGGAATAGCTGGCTTTGATAATTGGACATTCATGGAGTTTTTTTGCCACTTGGTATATATTAGCTTATAATTTAAAATATTTTACTTTCTTTAATGCTGTAAATATCATTTTAATAAATCAAAATTTATGAAAATAGAGACTATTGTACAAATTCAGTTAATAAATGCTGCTTAAATACAGGTCTCCATGAGCATATTAAAAAAAAAAAAACTGTGCCATTGAGAGGGTTAAAGAAGTCAAAATATTCTGGTATTCTGTAAAATCAGCCGGGGGGAGGCAAAGAATATTATTTTCTTGTTTTTAATATAGGAATATTTTGCCATAATATTTTAATGTAATTCAAATTGAAAAAATATAAGGGATAAAAACTTTTTTTAATATATTTAATTTGCTGATGATCGTAATATCAAGTTGTCAAATATTCAGCAACTAAGCCAGACAACAGATGTCTGTCATGCAATTGGTGCATCTCTACTAGCTCTTTTCAATTCTTTGAGTAAAAGTAGATGAGACCCTATATTCTTTTCAGTTGGTACATTAAAACAGGTAAGAAAAGCAAATGTGAGCAAGAAAAATTTATAAAATGTAATGATTACAGTAAAATTAATAACAAGTACACTCTAATAATGTAATTCAGGAAGCATTTTCTTTGTAGGAAGTAAACTATTTACAATTTCTGCTTGTGTTTACGTCCTTTATAATGTTCTTCAAGATGGCTGAAGGAAGTAGCTGTTATGTAGCAAATATCACATGCAGGGATATTCCTGAAAATATAAAATACAGTTAGAAAATAACTACAAGCAATTATCTTTAATTGAAATGACTTGTAAAGCAAGAAATTTTCATATGTTGAGTAAATCATTTCTAAAAGATAGTTCATTCAAAATAACCCCCCCCCAAAAGAAATCTTCCTTTTTATATAAAAGCTACTACTCTTTTATATTTAATAAATCAGACAAACAAATTATAACAGCTGCTTTTGGCTTTTGCATTAGAGAAAATATGGGGGGGGGAGAGCCGCATATATAAATTTTAAAACTTTAAATGGAAATCTTGGTACTTGCACAAAAACAACTACCAGAGATAGACCAATATAATTTCTTGTCAATAAATGTTGCTTCCCATTGAACTTTCATTTCTTTTAACCATGCACTCATTTTTTTCCTATTAGTTTAATTCTTACATATTCTAAATTTCTTATTTTCTTATTAGATCTACAAGACCTGCCAAACAATTAAGTGAAAATTACCCATTCAAAATATGAAATATTGCATGAACTTTTAGAATGTTTTAATTCCAAACAATGGAATAATGCATTATAAAAGAAAATGTGTTGAATAAATGCAATACTCAAAAGAGTACAAAGATGATAAGAATGAAAGCAGTGCTAAGCTATTTAAATATGGCAAAACATATGAGGGCAATTTGACTAAGGCAAGGCATGTCTTAAGAAAAACTGGCTTGTATTTATGTTACAAATGTGGAAAACCACAAAAACCAATATTGTAGCCAGACTACTTGCTTGAATTTAAACTTGGATGAACTATAGTATTTGGCAGTCTTTACCAACTACTGGTGAGACCTGAATGAGGATAAGAATATGATTTGAAAGTCGATTTTAGCCAACTGATATTTATGACAGACACAATTTATTTACTATAGATGCAAGGAGTTAAAATCTCAAATTTGAGGAAGAATTGGATTTGGCAGATAAAAGTATTATAAATTAGAAGATTTTTCTCAAGAAGCATCTTAGAATTGAAAAAGAGGACAAATCAAAACCTGCCATATTCAAATTATTGCAAAAGTCATCTTGTTGCTAATAAAGCTCCTGTTAGCAGTTGACATGTAAGTACCGAAATATTACTAGATATAAAGCTATGATTGCTTATGTAAAAATATGTTTAAATGATCAATTACACATATACAGCATTTGCATTCATTTACATTACATTAAATTCTGAATTATAGCTTTTATAAGCTAAATTCATACTCTTTACAATATGAGTTTTTTATGCCTAAGGCAAGGTATGTCTAAGAAAAACTGGCTTGTATTTATGTTACAAATGTGGAAAACCAAAAAAACCCATATTGTAGCCAGACTGCTTGCTTGAATTTAAACTTGGATGAACTATAGTATTCGGCAGTCTTTACCAGCCACTGGCGAGACCTGAATGAGGATAAGAATATAATTTGAAAGTCAATTTTAGCCAATTCATATTTATGACAGACACAATTTATTTACTATAGATGCAAGGAGTTAACATCTCAAATTTGAGGAAGAAATGGATTTGGCTGATAAAAGTATTATAAATTAGAAGATTTTTCCCAAGAAGTTTCTTAGAATTGAAAAAGAGGACAAATCAAAACCTGCCATATTCAGATCATTGCAAAAGTCATCTTCATGCTAAGCTCCTGTTAGCAGTTGACATGTAAGTACCGAAATATTACAAGACATAAAGCTATGATTGGTTATGTAAAAATATGTTTAAATGATCAATTACACATATACAGCATTTGCACTCATTTACATTACATTAAATTCTGAATTATAGCTTTTATAAGCTAAATTCACACTCTTTACAATACGAGTTTTTTATGCATTATGAATCTTGTCTAATTATAAATTTGCTTTGGAGTGTATAGTGCTAGTACAATTATAAATATAATGGAAAAAATTCCACGGAACAACGCAAGAGCCATTGTGCAAAGGTACTTTTTACCTTAGAATTACATTTCATCAGAGCCAGGCCTAGGCATTTTTTCAATTGAAGAAAAGCATGTACTCTTACATACCGTCAGTTTAACTAGATCTGTGTATTTTCATATTAAACAAAGGTTAAATATTTAACTATAATCTTATACTTTAATTCTTATACTTTTGAAATGTAACTTATATATTCAAAAAATAATCCATCTAATAATTTATAATTTTTAAATGGAAATATTAAAAGTTTCTTTTCAATAAATAGCAAATGACACTAAAATATTATCAATAATAATACAATTAATATAAAGGATTGATTGATATTATTTAATTTATATCCTAGAAAATATAAATATATATATATATATATATATTTCTTTTCTAAGATCATGGGAACGTTTTGCATTAATTTGCCCAAAGGGTGTTAGCCCAGAAAGGCTATTAATTTTGTTTTGGCATTTTGTGGCACTTTACTATAAACACTTTTCAAATTGCTGCCATCAAATAGTACAGACCTGCATTATATTTAAAGAAATTCTGAATGAAGGTATGTACGTTTCTCGTACTGTGAAAAAGCAATGATACCTAGAGACATCAAATTTTGAATAATGTAGTCCTCCACTCCAATACAGGCATCTGGAAGCCCAAGTTTGGAATTTGCTTTATTACCTATTTCTTATTTTGTAAAACATAAAAGAATTTCTGATTAGCAAACTCAACGATTTCAAAGTGAGCAATGGCAACACTGTACAGGAGAAAAAAAAAATTATCTCCAACTTGCGAGACTGTGTATTGGAAATTCTAAAGACATGCTCTATTTAAATTATTTTGCGATACAGCTATTGAATTGAATTTTATGGTTTAAGTGCTAAGAATATGATATATAAATAAAGGTAACACACAAAACATCAAAAAACGAACCTTTGGCCGTAATACAAAATCTAAAAACTTTCAGATTTATATATATATATATATATATATGAATACAGTACAAAGTCCGAAATCCGGACGTCCATTATCCAGAATAATCTAAAGTCCAGACCTCAAGTCACAAACCTTTTTTTTTTTTAATTAATGCTTTACGCACGCACATTTTATTTTTCCTTATATAATAAAATTGTGGAGATTCTGGCTTTAAAAATTCCGATTCTTAATTTGCCTTAGGTACTAAATAAAATACCTTGTTATGGAAAAACGATCATGTAAGCATAAATTTGTGAGATTAAAAATTTGGCTTCGTAGCTGAGTGTCTACTTGACATAGATCTCAAACCAAAATCATTCACCTATTTTATATTCCCGACTAGTCATTATCTATTATATTTTGCTTTCATCACCACATTCTTATCAATACATGACAGCTTCAGTAAAAACTCATGCTGTGATGTCTAAACTTTTTTTTTATATTAGTAATTGAATAACAAGAGTATGGCAACCTTTTATGCTAACATTACGCTTGGCGACGATTATGGAATTTTAAATGCTCTAAGAAATGTTCACGAGGAAAAATTCCCCAAAAATTTCTTTTCATATGCTAAAAATAGATTTTGTTAACAAAACTCATAGGCTAAAAGATTACATTTAGCGCTATTTTAATTAAGAACAACTGATATGTTATTCACCATAAACTCAGAAGCGGTGGCAGAATATGTCGGAACCAGACAGCAGAATTTAGGGAAGATGAAATTTGATTTAGGGAAAGCACTGGGATCCAAAGTTTAGGCACGGTGAAAATTTAGAACTTATGAAAAACTTTGTAGCAGAATTTAGGACCCGTTGAGACTGCACCACGCGATATCGATCCCCGGCCCTAGATAAAGCCTTAAGTAATGTGGGATTTATTATTCAGGACTTGGATTGTTTGAGCATGTACAAGAAATAACGTAGGTATAGTAATACTAAACTAATACAATTCAGGCTTATTCCACGCAGTAGGAGCAAGACAAAATTTAGAGAAACAACTTGGCTTTCGTCACCAATCTTATGATACACAGCCAATAATGTATAACGGATGCTATTAAGCTAGGCTAAAATTATCTTTACTGATTCTAAGGCATTTCAATTAATGTAGCAGACTGTGCTGCTCCTTGATCTTCTAATTTGATCCAGCTTATTATTTTTTGCACCCTGTTATTATTATGGCAATTTTATAAAAACTAAGCTTCTACTTTCGATTATGTCGAAAAGAGTTTCCAACTCTGGAGTTGTCAAAAGATCTACGAAGCAAAGAATGTTTCGATGTCCATTAAACAAAAAGTGGAATTGCTGCAAAAAATTGATAAAAGCATATCCGTCTCAAAATTATGCAAGGAGTATGGCATTGGAAAGAAAAAGGAACTTTTTGAATTTTTTGTGGAAGCATCTTAACACAACTTACATTGAAAGAAATGTTTAATAAAGTAAACAAATAAATATTAAGCTTTTTTTTTGTACATTATGTACTTAGATCATATTGCCTTTTTCATAAATTACAATTTCATATTTTTAATTGTATAATTTCTGCATGCCATCTTACCAGATTTAAATTGATGATCTCTTTTAGCCATTCATTGGATGTTAACTCTTCTCAGATTTGCAATTCTTTGTTGTGGATTAAAAAAACTAATTTCTGAAAACTTATTTTTTAAAGAAATGAAACATATGGTCATATGATTTAACAGATAAATAAAGCTGTTTATTTTCAAAAAAGTACTAATTACAGTTTAAAAATTGTAGAACGTTTGACAGGATATCTGGAAGAATACATTTTTCTATTTTTACAACATAACTATGAAAGGAAGAATAACTTTTTTTTTTAATGCTTAACATAATCCCCTTTTCAATCTTGTATTTCTTAAAAATAACTATAATAAAGCTTACTTAAAAATAAACAAACTATTTTCTTCCCTGAGAAAGAAATAACCTAAATATAACTGAATAAGAATAGACGAAGATATACACCTGTTTAAGAACAATTGCAGTTATTTGATGTAAATAGCTGATATACATATACTCACTTTTTTTCTGCTTGAGCTACACTATCAATAATTACCTATAATAAAATAAAATAAATATGTATAAATATAGAAACCATTAGTTTTTTTGTTCAATATATATATTAACATATAGCCTCAAACATACAGATTTAACTTCAACAACTAAAATAACATTTCTGTTTTATACAATTTTTTAGAACAAATATTAAAAATATCATTTGAAATAACATTAATTTTAGTAATATTGTATTTTAAATCAAAGGAATTATCTGTGTTGCGGAATAATCATTTAACTACCCACTTTAAATATTCAAAGATAATCTCTATATTTTGGATTTTGGAGAATAGATACATACATGAGCATACACACTCACATAGCCAACTCACATTAATGTGACCACTGGTTAATGTCCAGAATAACCATCATGTGCAATGTTTAAAGTGACTACGTGGGCTGAGAGGAGCACATTAAAATGCTGGAAAGTATTTGCTAAGACATGGAACCATGATAACTGCAATACAGTTAACATCTGCTGGAGAGTATGAGGCAGAATATCAACAGAATGAGCAGTTTGATCAAGGAGATCCTATAGATTCTCATATTTAAACCTGGAAAATTTTATGGGGAAGAAGGGCAGGAAAGTACTATAAAGTTTTCCTCATACTCTTCCAGTCACACACATATATTCTTAGTTGTGTGACATATTATACTGTAGTGCTCGAAAATATCATCCTTCCCAAGAGAAAAAAAATTATAGTTTACAAGGATGGATGCACATACAATGCAATCCACAGCAGCATTTACAATAATGAATGGACCCAATAAATGCTATGAAAACATTCCCCTGATCATTACATTAACTCTGCCAACTTGCATTCATTTACAGATTGAGGGGTATTTGTTCTCTGATATTTCTTCTTGTATGAGCTAACATACATTCATCCAATAAAGCGAAAATACGTGATTCTTTGGGCAGTGGCAACCTTAAACCAATCAGTGGAAGTCGATAGTTGGTACTGCAGCACAAATTTCAACCTCTTCTACTGATGAACAGTTGTTAGTGTAGGAGTTGTCTTCATCTACCTGCTGTGCACCCAATACAGAGCAACATAGCTAAAACGTCTAATGGCTTGTGGGGTTCACAAATTTACACAATGTTCAATTTGTGCAGCATTATTTTGCCATTCACAGTACACCTTCACCATAGTAGTATGTGACCAGATCACAAACTACAGTTTCCAAAATGTTGCCATTCTTGTTCTGAAATCCAATACCCATTACTTTTTGTAAATCTGATACTAATGTTTTTTGAATGCCTGCAACACATTTTTGTGTTATCTTTATACTAACATCAAGCTGATTCCATTATCATAGGAGATGAAAAATGAAGTTTCTATGTCAACATTAAGACCAGATCTTGAATGAAGAAGGAACTACTTAGGCATCAGCAGAAACAAAGGTCTAATTTATGTTAAGTCATGAGTTTTTATCATGTGTTCATGTGGCATTCAGAATTGGTTTCACTAAGCAACAACATTATTCCCAAACTCTTCTGTTAACAACTGTTATGCCGCGAATTTTAATTATATTAATGTTTGTTTGAAGTTATCATTATTCTAGTATATTTATTTGTACTCATGTATATTTTAATCTGGTAAAAGAGTATTCTTAAATTGTTAAAGCCTTATTTAGCTCGTAGTTCTTGAAACTATAGTGTAACAAAGACAGGAGACAACTGATTTATGGCCTTTTACTAACAGTGGAAGCAGTTACGGTGTTGTTTTCTTAGCCGTGGGCCTTACTAATGGTGCTGAAACCTACCTCTTATGTTAACTACCTCCCACAACAGAGTTGTGACTTCAAGGAAAGGAAAGAGACTTTCTCGGAGAGTAGAAGGATTGTATGTTTCGGAAGAAATCTAGGAGATGAATCCATGAAAAGGAAAGAGACTTTTCTCTGTGAGTAGAAGGATTGCATGTTCCTAAGAATCCAAAGGGATTAAATCAAAGGAAAGTAGATACTTTTTGCCCGATGTAACTGAGAAAGATTAAATAATATGTTTTGGTAGATGAGAAAGTCTAGAATTAATATTGATATAACAATAAGAACAAGGGGAAACGGGGAAGACCACTGTTTAACGTCTGTGAAGGTAGCAGAGAGATTTGAATAGGGGTATGAGAGGTTTTGCTTGCTTCATGCAAAGGTAATCTGTGCATGATAACTCAGAAGTTTTTAGGAGGACAAAGATATGACACTTTCCTGCTGGGGGGGGGGGGGTGGCGGAATTACTAACACCAAGAATACAACAGACTTCTTTCTTGCATATGTAGAAGCGACATTGTATGCAATGCTTATCAGTAACATCTGAACATGTAACATGAGCATCCTATCTGAATCTACAAAAAGTGCAAAGAGACTTTTGACATAAAAGTCTCTTCGCTTCTTTTAACGTGTTAATTTTCTTTTCATCTCTCTAGATTGCTTCTTCTCGTGTAATACTTCTTTACTAAAAGACCTTCTACTTCGAGCTAGAAGGATAAAGTCAACGCGTTTGCATGTACTGTCAGATGCGACTACGTACACATTATATGTAAGCCTAAATGGCGGCCGGCCTCAAAAAAGTTACCAGCCATGCCGTCTTATGTCCAGGAGTGAAGGGGAACAGGCGAACGGTAGAAGTTCTCCTAATAGCTGGTGTGGGCATGTGCTATTTTCCTTAACCCCAGGGTATTGACGGAGGATACACAGGCAACTCACATAATCTATCGCTCTACATCAGCAATAAATCTCCATACGCTGTCCGGTGTAAGTGGGGCGAGCATGGCTTGGAGAATCCAGTCTGTCGGGCCAAAAAGCGCCGACTCAGTGCTCGGAAACCGCGGATGTCGAAAGTACATGACAGAGTGCAGAGCGACGGTCACGGTAACGGCTCTCGATATGATGATCCTTCGGGCCTATCTTATCAATAAAACTTGCGTATGACTCGGTCCAGCACACGTTATCGGTAGCGGTGCTACTACTGTTGATAAATGAATGATCTGGTATCAGTGTGGGCGATGTAAACAACGGGAACATTATTTGAGTGTGATGTGTACAAAATAGCCACCATGAGCGGAGAAATAGGAGGCCCACGCTAACAGAACACACAAGAGCATCCGAGTAACTATACAATCTCAAGTATACCAGTCCTACGAGTAGTTAACTACGCCCAAGAGTACACGGGCGAACAGGCAGCTGCTCAAGCTTCAGTCGCCCGTGCCTACTGCAAAAAAGATTACTACGTACTTGGTGCGATCTGGAAAAGGAACGTGCAGGAATGACATCATACTGAAGACTGCTGAAAGGAACAATAAGCATACACATTCGAGGCCGCAGTCATTCAGCTAGGTGGACTCTTGAGGACCAGTTAAAAGAGCATGGATAGGCAAGGCACGATAAACTAATTTGGTGATGAGAACGTAGGAAAATCTGAAGGAGATATGCTAGCTTTACCCCCAAACTGTGCAGAGAATGCAATGATACCCAAAGGCAACAGCGAACACACAGTGGACTGAAGAACCAACACTGTGCAGGGGCTGAAAGGCTGCAGTGTGAACTACAAATGTTTCGTGTGATCAGTGGTGGTCAAGCATGTTATCAATGCGCACAAACTAGAGGCACTATATACGTGCACAGAAGATAAAGCCAGCACAGAATTATTAAGAAGTAACGGACTGCACACATTTCATAGGTTTGTTGTATAAATGCACGCAAATAAACTATACTATTGTTAGGTGCTCGGTAGCAAGATACAGACATATGGCTGGGAAATATTGCTACTCTGCACTCTGATGAACCATACACAACAGATGGGCTGAGGATTGCATACAATGAACGTGGAATTCAACACAAGTCAATAACCATTACCACGCGAGCCGGTCCAATGAAAACCCAATATGACGTGTAGTAGTTCTCAACATGTGTTAGGGGCTGTATTAGACACAAAACATAACCAGAGGAAGTACCAAGGTGTTTCAGTATTCGTGCAAGAAAGAAAACTCATCGGCGGGAAGAAAAACTTCCAAACGGTTTCAATACCAATATGGCTAGAATGGACGAAAGCTTGGATAAAGACTGTGGTTAAAGAGCGATATGGAGCGATGCAAACCTGGTGACGTCTCTAAAAACCCGTCTCTTTTGGTGTATTTGGACAGGTTTACGCCCATTGAATATGAAAACCACATAAAGAGAAAAGCGAGAGTAACTAAAACGGCGGCCTATAAGCAGTCATTTCGTTGTGGAGGTCTGACTAGCCAATTACAAGGCCGGTATAGACAATGTATACGGTGTGTCGAAACTGTTTAATGGAAAAAGTGTGAGAAATGTGATGGGAACAAGGTTGAATAGGTACACAGATCACAGCACACACCTAGGTAGAATTAAGCGGCCCTCTAAGTTCGGACAATTGTGCGAGTGGAGCTGGCGGATATCGGGGATTGGAGGGACGTAAGCCTGAAAGTTTAAGTTAACTCCTTACGAAGTCGAATCAGTAATGCTTCTGACGGAACAGAAAGACGACGCATTATTGCAAAGGAAGGTCGATGACGATATTCTCGCTTTCGATGAGGATGATAGCAAAAGATTTTATGTTTTGAAGTGATTAAGTCTAATTTCATGATAGGCAACGTTTTCCTTGATCTGTGTTTTTGTTGTTTCTGCTTTATTTGTATCATGTTGATTTCTTCCATCTTCATTATTGAAATTTACATACATTTCAATAGCTTACCGTTGTTATTTACGTAAAAATATGTTTGGTATGAATTCAATAATTGTTTATTTGGCTTTTATGAAATACGAGACTAAAGAACCTATTTTAAATTATGTGGTAGTGCTTCGCACGGATATGAAACTTTTTTTCTTGTGTGTGGCCTTCTAAATAAGGGTGCATCTTATATGCCGTCAAATATGGTATACGTTCCGGAAAATCTGCGAGTGATTTTTCTAATTTTGTCTATTTCTCTCTATCTTTTAAATTACTTAGAAAAAAAAAAAACATTAGTTTTATATGTGTAAACT